ATTACTATTACAAAATCTATTTTCCTCATAAAATGGGGCTCAAACATATATCCTCATTTTACTACCGCTTTAAAAAATTATTTATTTTTAAAATAAAATTTAAATTTAAAAATATTAAAATAAAATAAAATAATTAGATTCACAGTGGGTTAAAAAAAATTCGAAACGGGGATCATGAACTAGTCTATGCTCCAATCACCTAACCAGACAAGACAATGCATGGCATGCTATTTTTCTACAAAACTGCTACATGTATATTCATTTTGTACTTTTAAGTTTGACATTCATGATGTATCAAAATCATGGTTCAAATTGATGACCATGATTTCGATACATCAAGGGATGTGAAACTAGTTGTACAAAATGAATGTACAACTAGTTTAATTCATTTTTCTATCGCTAATTCTGCAAAGCATGAAGTTGTTGCAGTTTCTACTCCTTATTGCACCAAGTACTCATGGGTTCATAATTATTAAGATGAGCTTGGGAACAAGTGAGACATGAGAAAGAACCAAGTAAATCTAAGGGGCACTATTGTCCCAACTAAGCTCATAAGGCAATCTATTACCCAAGGACTTGATGCTTCAAAACTGAACTAGGCCCTATTTATTTTAGTTAGAAATTAGTTTTTAATATATTTTAACAAAAGTTAATGATATGTGTAATTAAAAAGTTGGTGATCCCATAAAATGTTTGATTGAAAATGAATTTAAGAAAAAAATGAACTTTAGAAAATGGGAGCCAAACATGGGCTAGATTTAACATATCAATTGACTTCCTCAAGTGAACGCTGACTTGGTCGTCGTTGGTGGGGATTTGATGAATATACTTTGAGAAGACTTCTAATCTAACCATGAATGTAAATAATGTTTGGAGGATTTGTTATTAGTTATGAACACAATGTGCAAACATGTAAATAAAGTTTGGAGGATCCATTTACAAACATGCACTTTTTGGGATTAAGTTTGAACTTATGCTTTATAAAAACATTGAAGACCTTGTGGAGGTCGGCCTCATAATTCACTTTTTATTTTATTTTATTTTATTTCACCACCATGTCATCTATGTATATCTCCACATTCATCTAATAAGATCA